CGCCCAGCCGGTCGCACTGCTCGTCCTTCAGCAAGACGGAGCGCGGAGCAGCCAGCGGTCTGTAGTCTCTGCAAGTTCAGGTCAGCGGCGAATTTTTTTTTTTAATGCTTGTTTTCTCTTCTTCTATTCCCAGCTCCCCCAGATATGTTCTGAGGGAGGTGCTTAGCCCCCAAATTCACTCTGTTTCTGAGCGCCCAAGTTGGGCAGGTGAAGGAATAGCCTTGCTTGAGCGACATGAATAAGCTATAGGGGTGACACTTGCTCTGAGCAGGTAGAAATTATATTGCTCACTGACACTGGTCAGAAAGCGTCTGTAAGGGCTTCTGTAGGGAGGAATCTGTGATGAGCTGCCCTCGGTGTGGAGGCAAGTAACTCCCAGGAGGTTAGCAGGTACCTCTGGGACAGTGGGACTTGCTTGCTGGGATAGAAGGACAGAAGCAACTTTGGGAACGAGGTCTGGAGCTTTCAGTATGGGATTGGCCACAATGTCATTGAGGCCAACCAGCCTTGCAGTTCTTCATAAATACAGGGAGATGGGTTATTGTTGCCAAGTGACTAGAGGGAGCATGCAGTGCAGAGTTAGATCAGCTTTTGGAAAAGGTTTTTCCTCTTTGCTGTAGATATTCATGTGTGATGCTTTGGCAGAGAGAGAAAATCCAGAACTCACTTTCAGCTGATGAATTCTATTTTAAATACAGGTTTTATCTGGGTTTTTGGATGTATTTGAAAACAGGATTTTTAAATGGTTTATTGCACTCATGGTTAGAAACTGCAGGCAGTGACTCCTCTTTATCACATTATAGGCTTCTGACCAAAGCTCCTTGGAGCTCTCAGATTAATCTTCTCCGAAGCAGATGATTAAGTTGAGGGTCTCTGTACCTACACTGCCTGAAATATTTATGTTTTCCAAATAGCTGGCAGCGTGTATATACTTTCGGCTATAGTGGGAAACCTATTTCTATTTTATTCTCTCTCTCTCTCTCTTTTTTTTTTTTTTTTTTTCCTTTCCATTCTTTGGGTGTGAAGAAAACAAAACATTAAAATACTTTTAGGGAGCATCTAGTATATGGTTTGTTAAGATACATGGATCCTATATGGAAGACGAGAGGAGAGTGCCAAAGGGACTAAAGGAGTAGAGGGGAGGGAAAGATGAACACCCTTTACAAATTAAATATGTGCTAGAAGTAGCTCACCCTGGGTGTAGCTTATTTCTCTACTCCAGGTTAACTGCAGAGTCTCTGTCCCTTGGCAGCACAGCCTAATCTGGCTGTTTCTCAACTATCTGACAGCTTCCTTAAGTGAGATTTGAATAAGATTTGCATTTCTATGGGGCTTTGACTAGAGATCTGCATTTTTCTTGACAGCCATAGGCTTCAAGCTGATTTGGAAAAGGGCTGTTAAGAAGACCCTTGCTATAACTACAACTTATACTCATCCAGATTAGACAACTGTTGCTTTTTTTTTTTTTTTTTTGACAGAATAAGAATAAACTCAAGAAAGACTTAAATGGACCTCTGAAGGTGAGTTAAAAATGTAATTCAAAGACAGTTTTGTAAGGTAGGAGCAATGATAATAACTGAGACTTTAGTGTGTCATTGTTACTTGATTAGAAAATCAAGTTAGTATTTGTGATTGTCTTCTCAAAATGAATAAGGATTCACCTTCCTTAACTACAGAGGTTCACACCACAGGCTCTTGCCTGTTAGTCTGTGTCATTACAAATGTTACCATCAAACATTTAATTTCTAAATTGTATACAGTGTTTAGTATAGGCTAGATAGTTGTCTTTGAGGAGGAGGAGGCGGCGGCATAGCCTGCAGTGCTAGTGTTTCAAACATAGCAGAGGATGGTTATGAATATGTGAAGCTTCAAAGCCTGGACAGATCAAATCTATGATGCGTGTTCAATAATAAGACAAATGGAAAAATAGAATTGGGTAGTTTCTGTCCTGTTACTGAGAAAGTAGTACAGGTTTGGTATCCTTACCTTTTGTACAATAAAATTATATTTTTTAAAACAGGAAGTTTTGAAACTACAAATACCTTTATTGCATAAAAGTTAGCCACAAATGTGAAGGCATTATGTTTCAGCCCAATGATGACTCATGTTTATGAGCTTTCCTTTATTAAACTGTTAAAATTGGTATCAATTATTATGGGGTTGGTATTGTGGCCACCGACAGAACTAGAGGTAATGGCCGCAAACTGAAGCATCAAAAGTTCCACAGGAACTTAAGGAAAAATTTCTTAACAGTGAGGGAGATGGAGCACTGGAACAGGTAGCGAAGCGAGATTGTGGAGTCTCCTTCTCTGGAGATCTTCAAAACCTCTTGGATGCAGTCCTGTGCCACGTGCTCTGGGTGTCCCTGTGTGTGTGGGGGGGGTGGGTTGGACTAGGTGACCTCTAGAGGCCCCTTCTAACCTTAATGATTCTGTGATTCTATGATCGATTAAGGCAAGCATCCTCAGCATTCACAGGGGTAATGTATATACCAAAAAGAAATGTCTACGATGAAATTGCATATGTAAAAACAAACAAAAAAAACACTGAGAAGGATCTTCACTGAAGAATTACTTCAATTTTGAGGAGCACTGCAAAAATTATGAACCTCAACTTTGAAAAAAAGACTACTTTTTTATGCTGTATAATTTCTGAGAGAAAATTTTGGTTTATGCTGTGTAGAGGGTGAATCACTTGGAGATTAGTCGTAATAGGATTTTTTTCACTGTGCAGATTTACTAGGTATTAAGTTTGGGAGCTGGCTGCTGTACTAAACCATGAAGGTAATCTGACTCCTTTTAGCCTGTGTGTGTGTCTGTTTTCTTGTTTTTATTATACTTAGTGGAAAGTAAAAGCCACCTTTACTTATGTTTTCTGATATGAAGTAGGACTGGATGAATTTTATGAAAAGTGTGGCTAAGAGATGGTATAGCAGGGCTTATGGCCTGAACTGGTCAATGTTTAAAACTGAGAGCAGTGAGATGCAAGGCACTTCCCTTTCATTCACCACTTCTTCCACCTCCTCTACTGGTTGGTACATCCCGTGTGATGTTATTAGGAGTAGACTATTCTGCTAATATGACTGCCTATATGAATCTTAAGTGTTACTTAAATGCACAAGCAATGTTCTAATTGGTCCAGGTTAATTCTGCTCTTGTTTTTGTGTATTACAGTGCAAGACTGAGATCTGACAGATTCATAACCTATCCAACTGCATGAAGAATTTGGCATTACTCTATCCTCTGTGCTAGTGCTGTTTTTGATAACACTAAAACTTATCTGTCATATTACATGCATAATAGCATTTTTAGGAGGTTATTTCCTAGCTTGTTGCTTTCTTGTCCATTACATATGGCTTGATGGCTGTATGCTAGTTGACTTCTGTGTTTATAGGAAACACATTGTGTCTGCCATTGCATTGCCTTTATTTTCACTTCATACACGGTGATAAATCCTTAAAAGCTTTTTAGGAGATGCTTCTGTTGCATACAAAATGAACTTTTAGTGTTCAATAGAAAACAATGAAGGTTTTTTTTCTGTTGGCTTAAGATGTCTTGACAGAAATCTTACCTTTTTTTCAGCTTAACTACAGTAATTCATTATATATTTTTATTTTTGTTTATCATTTTGTACTTGTAGTCTGGAAGCAATAAAAACAAAAGAAATGGAGACAGAAGCCATTTTAAGTCTTCGTCAACAACTCAAGGAAGTAGAGAATGAACGAAGGAAGGCAGCACAGTATGGCTTGCACTTACTGGAATCTCAAAATGAAGTTCAAAATCAATTGGATCAAATACGCCGTGAACTGACTGACAAAACTGAGGTGCTGTTTTATACTCTTGGAATAAGATTCAAGTCAAGATTTTTGATTTCTATCTAACTCCTTTTCAGGAAAACGGATGTTTTGGTGCGCTTGAGAGTCTAGGTTAATTTCAGTAAACCTTTTTCATTTAGGCAGTTGTAGGGAGGATATTTTTTTAATATCTTCTCTAAGATACTGGGCACCATTTTATGGCTAATATATCTAATGCATCTAATATTATGGCTAATATATCTAATAAATCTAATTATAAGCTTTTTTAGCTAATATTATAGCAGTGTGTAAGACAGATATGTGGGTGTTGTGCTCACTATCATACAGAATTAATCATAATCCAGTATGATATGGATATTAATTCCTAAAGTGCATTTGTTTTTAGAGCATGCCTTTTGTGTATGTTGAACAGTTTATTTATGTTATCATATTTCAAAGTTTCTCCTTGCGAACTGTGTACTGTTTAAAGCTGGAACAATAATAATACAGCTAAGTTAGTAATATTGATTTCTTCAGTAGTACATGGGGTTTGATATTTTCTAAATATCAAGGAATTCTGGGTCAATTTATTGACAGTTGAGAAAACTGTATAGTATAAACAGTATAGGATAGAGGTTTAATAGTTCATGTTTGTTCTTAGTAATTTTGTAAAGCACTTTCAAGCTGCCCATGCTTCAGAGCTACTGCTTTTTTGAATCTGGTCTGCTTTTGCCTGTGAATTGCCCCCTGCTTTACTACTGGCAGAGCTAAGATTTGCTTGGTTTGTGTGACCACCTGGAACAGAGTCTTATCACCCTGCTGTTCAAAGGATGGCCATACACTTGGAATGGGAAGAAATAAAAAGATAAGCCCTAAAAATTTACAACAGGCTTAGATTTGGAAAGGTGGGTATGAAATCCCGATTCCTTAAGTGGGACTGAAGCACTTTAGCAGTGCAGTTTCAAGCGCTTAAGTAGATAGTGTCTTGGTTCTGAGCCTGTATCTAATAAATTGTTACTCAAGTATTTATGAATATTGAATGAAGACTTCTCTTTTGCAGAAATTTGAACAAGAGAGATATACTCTTCAGAGGGAAATTGAAGTCAAGAACAGAATGTTAGAAAGCTTGAATTTTGAATGCGATGCTCTCAAGCAACAGCAAAACATGCAACTGGATAAACTAAGAGAACAGCTTGTCAGAGTTCACGGACAAGAAATAAGTGACCTTAAGAACAAGGTTTGAACTTAATATACTACTAAAATGTTGCTAATAACCCAACTTTCCAATTGCTATCAAATTCATAATTACATGCCTATTACCCAGACAAATCTGATCAATAGTTTTGTTGTGTAGTGTTATCTTATTTTACCCTGTAAATTGAGGAATTTGAATCAGATCTCAGCTCCTATTGTTTTTAAGCCACTTATTACAAAAGAAAATTAAATTATTAACTATAGCTTTTATTGAAGCTGGAATTAGTTGGAGAAGATCAAGCATGTTTAATGAAAGTATTGTTTATAATTAACAAGATGAGAGTATTTGTTCTACATCTTCCTAACAAAATCTTTTTTAGATCAAAAATATGTTGTCACGGGCTTAAACTATTGACCTTAGGATAAGAGCACTTTTTATTTCCCACATCAACTGAAAAATCTTGTGTTTTGAAAAATTTACTATAATGGTGTCACTGACTTGTCAATTGTCTTTAAGTTGGAGAATCTGAAAGGTGAATTAGATGAAAGTCGACTCTCAGAGAAACAACTGAGACATCAGGTGGATCATCAGAAGGAAATAATTGCTGCTAAATCGGAGGAGTTGCATATGATGTATGAACGTGTACATGAGACGATGTCTTCGGAAATGCTCAATCTTCAGGTGGAACTCACTGAACTAGAAAGCGTGAAGGTCTGTGAGTAATCCATGGTTATGAGGAATGTAGCTACTTAGAGATAAAATTAAGCCCTTCGCACATTTCATTTTTTAGTTGCTTTTTATGTATTGCTACCTCAATATTGGCTTAGCAGTAAGAGAACAGTGATAGATCAAACAATGATAGCTGTAAAAAGTCAGACCTTAATGCAACCTTTTTTCAAAGTAGTATTTTTTGTTTAAAAATAATTGCTACTAATAGATGTTTGGCTTATTTAGACCTGCTGTGTTTACAATTGTGTTTTGTAAGCCTATTTTTTTTTATTTTTGTCGTTAGGCCAATGTTGAAGAGAAGCTGAATGAACTGCAGTACAATAAAGAACAGTTGGAACTTGTAAACAGCAACTTACGTAATCAGCTGGAGCGCCTACAAGGAGAAAAAGAAGAGAGGGAGAAAGAAGTTGTTTCTTACTGCAACGCATTAGAGGTATTCTGTTCCTTTTATCCAATGGTACTGGATAATCCCTGAATCCCCTGAGTAGTTAGTGGTAGCTTCTCACTCAAATAAGGAAAAAAAATTGCGGGAGGGGAGAAGGCAGGATAGTATTGGGGTGGAAAGTGTTTTAGCTCTACAGGTCTACAGCTCTACTGTGATAGACTTCTCACTTAATTTCAACTGAATTAACATTTTCTACTGAATGTCCTCTCAAATATTTTTCTGGGGAGTAAAGAATCTGAGACTAACACAGCAAGGCTAATGGTCTCAATACTTGATGTTGAATTGATAAACATCTAAGTTTTGCTTCGAAGGACTTGGTTCTACTCTTGCCCTGAATAGCAAGCAAAATAGTAGAAGCTTGTCTTTCTGACCATAACTACAGACACAATTAAATACTGTAGTACAAGATAAAATCTAAGACAAAAGCATAAGAAATAAAAGAGATAAAACTTGACTTGTTATAACTGGTATGTCTAATTCCTAATAGTCTTAAATAACTCTTGAATTTTTCTAGAAAGCTCGTGAGACTAATCAAGAGCTTCAGGTCCAGCTAGATCATGCACTACAGCAGTCTTTGGATCCTACAAGTAAAGGCAACTCGCTCTTTGCTGAGGTACAATTACGTCACACCTGAGAATATCCAGAGGAGACGTCTAATTCCTAATAGTCTTAAATAACTTTTGAATTTTTCTAGAAAGCTCGTGAGACTAATCAAGAGCTTCAGGTCCAGCTAGATCATGCACTACAGCAGTCTTTGGATCCTACAAGTAAAGGCAACTCGCTCTTTGCTGAGGTACAATTACGTCACACCTGAGAATGTCCAGAGGAGACGAGAAATGCTTCATCGTAAATCTTAGTTGTTATGTTGTATCGAATATATTTGAGCATCTTTTTCTCATTTGGCACACTTGAGTCTCCGTTCCTGAAGTATTTCTTCAGTTCCCAACTGTGCCAGGGGATGAACCTACGGTTGATGGGGAGGGAGGTGGAAATTAGAGCCACTTTAAAGTTGGGGTGATGGTTACCTTGATGCACTCTCTTATTTACCTGGTTTTCGGCAAGGAGGACCAAGGGTCTTTGAGGGTTCATGACAGTTGGGTCTGCAGCTGGTAGTTCTAAAGAATTTTTTTCAGCTGGTGACCCTTCTTTAATGCTGGACAGGTTAAATATTAAAAAATTGTGATAACTGCAAATTCAAACAACTTGCTGAAAATGGCTAATTGTGTGAGAAGTTGAGGGGGCTTTTGAATTAATACTGGTTTAATAGATAGCTGGTGTTAAATGGATAGAAAGTCGTCTTCAGATCACACCCAGGGCATCTGTTGTGTTGTTTTGAAGTTGGTATTTTTCCAGATAACTTCATCCAATGCCCATGGACAAATCTGTGCTACCATACCCCTGAAGCAGAATAAATGTTACTTTGCTAGCAAAAGAGCAAGAAGAAAAACCTCTATCACAGTTAGCCAATTTGGCTTCAGCTGCTGTAGCAATGTCTACTTAGTTTGGTCTCAGAAGTAATTAAAATAGCAGATATTTTCAAGGGTTCTTTTTAGAAAAATGTTGTTTTCAAGGCCAACAATGATTGTTGGGTAACCTTCTGTGATAAAGTTCAGCATCCAAATGGAAAGTGTTATTTTCATAGTAATAATTGTTAATAATGTTCTGTAGGTGGAGGACCGTAGGGCAGAAATGGAACGACAGCTGATCAGTGTGAAAGTAAAATATCAGTCACTACAAAAACAGCATGCATTCACTAGAGAACAATTGCAAAGAATGAAGGTATGACCATTACTGTAACACTCCAGGGTTTCCTTGGGGTCTGACAAGCAACGCTTTACAACTCAGGCTAGAGTATTTCAGTCTCTTAATGCGGGTAGGAAATATTATGCAGCAGTCTATATGGGGGGGATGGAAGTAGGAGCAAAGCTAAGTGGAGGGTATTGTACCTATTTGATTTTAATAGTACATCAACATTTTTTAAGTGCATATAACTAATTTTTTTATAGTTTTGACACATGCAGAAAATATCTGACATAACTGGCAGCAGTCCTTTGAATTAAAAAAAAAAAAAAAAAAAAAAAGCTCCTGTCAGTCAAACTATAGCATCTAGTTTGTCTCATTTTTTCTTTCACTTATCTTGATACTGTATAAGTAATTTATCTGTGAATTTGAGGTTATCAATACTGAGGCCTCCAGGAAAAAAGGAAGTTTTTCCTCTTTCCTCTGGTCATGCAGTTTTTTGTCCCACCCACCACTTTCTTCCTTTTCTGTTTGTCTGTTTCTCACAATACTCAGTACGATAGTAAAAGTCAACTTTTTTCTTCAACTATTGAATTGAGGTAGTACTTTAGGATAACAGCTTTTCAGTTAAGTAAAGCTGTCAACTAGTAAAATCTAACATCAACTGTAGAGAAAACCAGAACGTAAAGCTGTCTTTACAAGGTATTGTAAAGGAGATGTTGCAAAACTCTTACCTGTTCCATGTTTGTCTTGTGATTTCCCCAAAAAGGATGGATCCTCAAGTTGTAAGCAAATACTTGGTTACACAGTTTTGCTTAGCTCAGAGTTGTGATAATGAGTGGCACTGGAAGTACAGACCTGTATTACCTAAGTTCCTGTCTTAGAGGCCTGTTAGGAATCTCTTTGCTTTGTACTGTGATTCCATGTATTAAAACCTCTTTGTATAGGTACTTTGTGTGATTTGGTGTGTCCTTCAGGGGCTGAATCTCCCTCATACAGGGTAGCTAATTAGTTGTGGGATTTTTTTGTTTGTTTGTTTAGTTTTGTCTTTTGTCTATGAGGATGAACTGTAATTTGCAGTTTGCTACTTAAAAACTGAGCTCTGCTGTTGAGTAAAGGCTATGGGAAAGCTTGGTGGTCGTGCTTGGGAAATGAAAGGAAAGTTTTAGTCAGCTGGGGGTGAATTAAACATTCACCTGCCCTCTACATCTTGTGGAGACTAGTGAAGGATAAAACACATCAGAATCACAAATATTTTTTTATTTAACATAAGACTCCCATAGGGTAAGTCCTCTTCTCTGCCTTTCTCTGTCAATCTATTGCTTAAACTGTTTCAATTAATCTTTTCTGTGACTTCATGTCCTCCAGCATTACCTTAACTGTACTGGCTAGTCTGGTAAAAATGCTACAGTATTACTAACAGCCTGTTAAGTGTCGCTATGAATGTTTCATATTTCTCTAACTGTTTGAATAATGTCATTTGTAACTGAGTATGTTAAGACCTATATGTTATCATATTGTTAACAATACCAGAAAAAGCTCCTTGAGAAGCAAGCCTCTTTGCTAAATATTTACCTTTGTAATGATGGAGGATGTTTCTCTGCTTGAAATAATTCCTTGTGTTGAAAAGCTAAAACTAGTGAAAATTGTTTGCATGTTACAAATGCAAATTGTAAGGTTTGGATGTGATGTGTTTTCTGTGAGTGTTGGAGAGCATATTAAAGGTTAGTTACTTAGTAAAGAAAATGATTTGGCACCTTCAGATGTGTTCCTTAAGTTTTTGTCTTTAGAGATTTTTATTATCGCACGCTATCATAATTGAGAAGACAGGATTTAATTTTGAGTTTTAACTTAATCTGGTTAAGTTAATTAAGTTAAACTTTGTTTAGAGGATCTTGATTTTTTTTTTCCTTTTTTTCTCCAGCTGCAGATGGCTACACTGCTACAACTGAAAGGTTCTCAGGCAGAGTTTGAGCAGCTGGAGCGCCTACAGTCCATATTAGAGCAAAAAAATGGTGAAATTGAAGATCTTCTCATGAAAGTGAGGCAACTAGAAAAATTTAAGGTATGTGGTCTGTAATCAAGTGGACAAATCTTATTATGGAATAAGAGGTTCTATTATGAAATAAGAGAAATGAATTATGAAAACTGTAAAAGCCATGTGCAGGTATGAAAAGTGATACGGTGGCTACTCATGGCTGTATTTGACTGCTTATATTACTTGTTACAGCCTGACAACACTTTTTTTTTTTTTTTTTTTTTGCTTCTGTGAACTTCAGAAGGTTTTTTCTTCTGCTTTGGAAAAAGTTTTATCTGTGTTCCTATGTCACATTTTGTATTTTACATAGTTATGTCTAGTGTTTCCATTCAACTATGAGACATCTGATTTTAACGTGGACGAAATGAAAAAAATATTTGACTACTTTTTCACTTGTTAACTGTGGATTTAGTTTTATAAAATGTTTCTAGTTGTATTGGGTATCTGGAGAACGTATTTCCTTTTTGTGAATATATTTTGACTTTACAGTTGAAGCACTGTCTCCTTAACAGACAAAATTGTTCTACCATTGTTGTAAGGCACTCTTTAGCCTCTTCAGTCCTCTTTTTCAACTTGAAAGCATCTTGTCAGTATGTTAGGAGGTGAGACATATGAATGGGGGGACCTAAATGCAGTGCTGTATGTGGTTTTTTTGTTTTTTTGTTTGTTTTTTTTCTTTTGTTCATATGTGTGCAGATGCAAGCCTTGCTTAGTCTGACATACTCGTTGACTGGGGTCTGGTGCTGTCTTGTCACAGCTGGAGAACATGAACTTGAGTTCATCAGCTTATGCATTAGGATTACGCTCTGCAGGATAGCGTGCTCTAGTTTGCGTTTAACCCAAGTGGCACAAAGCTAGGCTTGACCCATTTTAATGCAGCTGATTGCTTGGTTGCTTTAGCAGTTCTCACATCGGTGAGCTTGTCCTAAGGCTATAAATAAACAGTGTCAGGACATGGAATCACTGCTGAAGTCCAGAAATAGAGACTGAAGGAAATTCCCCATAATTATGCCAAGTAATTTGTATCTTAAAGTAGAAAAAAGTATTTTTTTTAATTCTACTTTAAAATCATTTGCAGTTGATAGTTCTCTCTTACTCAGTAAAAGAGTTATCAGATTCAATGCTCTTTCACAGGAACTAGTAAGTGCCCAGAGCTAATGAGGTTTCCTTTGCATTTAAACGCTTTTGTAAATAAGTCCTCTTAACAGAAATGAATCAAAACTTCACTTAAGGGCTAGACTAGTGTCCTTCAGAAATGTCACTGGTTGTTAACAACTTAATACTTTTCTTCTCTCAGACCTTATATGAGAACACAGAAGAATCTAGAGCTGGTACTAGCTCAAGGGGAGGAGAATCTGAAGATGGTTACTATGCAGACTTGCTTCAAATGAAACTGGACAACTCAAAGTAAGTGTGTGGGGGTTTGAGTCCTAGGAGCTGCTTATAGTCTCTTCTAGGAAGAGACAGTTGTTTGTGTAGTGTTTATCTCTGTGTATGAATATGCATATTATCCAGTCATGCTGAACTCTTCTTTGTAAGAAGAGCACAGTCATGTACTGATTGTCAGTATTTATTGTTGCAACAGATGATGGCCAAAAAAATCTTTATGCCAATTGTTTCTTTTTAGTGTCTCATTTCCTCAATGAGTGTTACATAGGAGCAAGTTAGTGGATAATTGATAGTTAAAAATCAAGGTGGTTTGTTTTTGTTTTGTTTAAATCCTTATTTAATTAACGTGTATAAGTTGCAACTATTTCTCTTTTCTGAAAAGAACCTGGCTAATCTGGATAATAACACCTGAAACTTTTCACTAGGCTGAGACCCACTTTTTTTGACAGTGAATTTTCTATCTATTAACTAAAAAATCCATAGCAGTTGGTTTTGTATTTGCTGTTTAAAATGACCGATTATTGTGTGTGTAATTTTACTCTCTGCCTCTCCTCAGTAAAGAAACTGAAACCTTGAGAAATGAACTATCCTTGCAGAGAATGAAAGCTTTGTATGAAAGCCAAAGGGTTCTGGAAGTAGAAAGGAAACTCTTCACAAATGAAAGGCACTTGCAAGATTGTCAGAGTGAGAATATGTACCTGCGGGTTATGGTAGATGAGCTAAAAATGAAATATGAACCTCAAGGTAAATATTGCTTCTCCTTATA